GTGAGGGGTCATGGGGGAGGGCAGGAATTGGGGGGTGAGGGGGACACAGAGAGGGGGGCAGTGATCGGGGGGTGAGGGGGACACAGAGAGGAGGGGGCAGTGATCGGGGGGTGAGGGGGACACAGAGAGGAGGGGGCAGTGATCGGGGGGTGAGGGGTCATGGGGGAGGGCAGGAATTGGGGGGTGAGGGGGACACAGAGAGGGGGGCAGTGATCGGGGGGTGAGGGGTCATGGGGGGGAGGGCAGGAATTGGGGGGTGAGGGGGCAGTGTATTGGGGTATCCAGAGGGTTGAGATGTTGGGGGAGGTAGTAGAGAATGTTGGGGAACAGGTCATATTTTGGGGTGAAATGGGCTCATTATGTGGTCAGGTGGTGTGGGGAGTCTGGGGTCCCAGGGTGTGGGGGATGGGAGTTGCGTCAGTTCCAGGGGGGTGGAGGGTTACAGGTTGGGGCAGATTACACACACGCCTCCCATAGGTCATGTGACTTCTGAGCTCTCAGCTCCTCCACCCCCCCCTCCATGATCCTTTCAGGGGTCTCATTTTTCTCTGGAGCCCCTTTGCTGGGTGCAGTAGGAGGGAGATTCTGGTGGAGCAGACTGTGTAGAGGTGATGGGAGACGCCAACATGGCGGTGAGAAGGTGAAGCAAGCGATGGCCTCCATCCCTAGGTGAACTATGTGGCTTTGATCATGGGTGGTGCCCAGGGTGGTGCCCGGGGTGGGGTGGGAATCGGATTGTTGTGGACAGACGATGAGTTCTTCCATTCTCTGCAGGACAACCCCCGTGGACCATCTCTGCAGGACAACCCCCGTGGACCCCCATCTCTGCAGGACAACCCCCGTGGACCATCTCTGCAGGACAACCCCCGTGGACCATCTCTGCAGGACAACCCCCGTGGACCATCTCTGCAGGACAACTGCCCCCGTGGTGGACCATCTCTGCAGGACAACCCCCGTGGACCATCTCTGCAGGACAACCCCCGTGGACCATCTCTGCAGGACAACCCCCGTGGACCATCTCTGCAGGACAACCCCCGTGGACCATCTCTGCAGGACAACCCCCGTGGACCTTCTCTGCAGGACAACCCCCGTGGACCATCTCTGCAGGACAACCCCCGTGGACCATCTCTGCAGGACAACCCCCGTGGACCATCTCTGCAGGACAACCCCCGTGGACCATGGCATCCAATGACCTGACGCTTCTCTTGCCACGTAGCCGCCTCCATCAGTTGGCTCGGGATTGGTTGGCGGAGGACGCCCCTGGCCTTGATATTGCAGGGTGGGCAGCTTGTGGTGGTACGCCACAGTCTCAGGAGGCCATACTTCTCTGCAAGTCTGCGGGGGTCCTGGCCGGGTCTCCATTCTTCCAGGCGTATGTGAGGAGGCCGGGTGCAGTGTGGAGTGGGAGCACCATGACGGAGAGTGGCTGGAGCCAATCACTAAAGTGGCCAGTGTCCGAGGTGAGAGGTTCATTATGGTGGGGTGGACAGAGTGTTCTCAATGTTTCTTCTCCATAGGCAACCAAACGTTTCCACCTTTATTCCTCCTGTGTGTCATCTTAGAGCTGCTGATCCCTTGCAGCCTTTTGCAGCCACTTCTTGTCCACAGGCACTCCAGTCATGGCTGCATGGCATTTGGCTCCATCGTATAATGGGCGATGTCTTAGGTGGTTCCCATCATACAAGTGATGGGTTGGAGGTTTCCATCTTTGAATGAGCGATTGGTTGGGCGTCACTGTCACACAGTAAGTTATGGTTTAGGGGTCTCCATCACATCATGAATGATGGGTTGAGGGTCTCCATTGTATAGTGAGTGATGGGTTAGGGGGCCTCCATGACATATTGAGTAGTGAGTTAGGGGGCCTCCATGACATATTGAGTAGTGAGTTAGGGGGTCTCATTGCATAAGAAAGTGATTGGTAGGGGGTCTCCATGACATATGACTGAGTAGGGTGAGTTATGGGGGTGGTCTCCATCATAATGAGTGAAGGCTTAGTGAGTTACAAATGGGGGATCTCCATGACATCATACAACAAGCAATGGGTTGAGTCTCCATCGTGAGCGATGGGTTGGGGCCTCAATGAGCATGGGGGGTCTCCATCGTACAATGATAGTGAGTGGGTAGGGGGTCTCCATCGACAATGAGTGATGGGTGGAGGGTCATGATGAGTGGTCCATCATCGTGTAGTGAGTTGGGGGTTCCATTCATATGGAAAGTGATTGGTTGGGGGTCTCATCCTAGGGATCTTCCATCATATAATGCGTAATGGGTTGGGGGTCTCCATCATAAGCGGTGGGTTGCTGGGTTGGGGGTCTTAGGTACCATGACGGTGATGGTTTACAAGGGGTCTTCCATCGTACATGAGTGATGGGTGGGCGGTGGGTCTCCATCGTACAATGAGCGGTGGGTTGGGGGGTCTCCATCATACAACAAGTGGGTTGGTCCATTGGGGGTTTCCATGAGTGGTGGGTTACAACAAGCAATGGGTTGGGGGGATGGTCTCCATCGTACAATGAGTGGGTGGGTTGGGGGTCTCCATCGTACAATGAGCGGTGGGTTGGGGGGTCTTCATCGTACAATGAGCGTGTGGGTGGGTTGGGGGTCTCCATCGTACAATGAGTGGTGGGTTGGGGGTCTCCATCGTACAATGAGCGGTGGGTTGGGGGGTCTCCATCGTACCATGAGCGGTGGGTTGGGGGTCTCTACATCGTACAATGAGCGGTGGGTTGGGGGGTCTCCATCGTACAATGAGCGATGGGTTGGGGGGTCTCCATCGTACAATGAGCGGTGGGTTGGGGGGGTCTCCATCGTACAATGAGCGGTGGGTTGGGGGTCTCCATCGTACAATGAGCGGTGGGTTGGGGGGTCTCCATCGTACAATGAGCGGTGGGTTGGGGGGTCTCCATCGTACAATGAGCGGGTGGGTTGGGGGTCTCCATCGTACAATGAGCGGGTGGGTTGGGGGTGGGGGTCTTCATCGTACAATGAGCGGTGGGTTGGGGGGTCTCCATCGTACAATGAGCGGTGGGTTGGGGGTCTCCATCGTACAATGAGCGATGGGTGAGGGGGGGGTCTCCATCGTACAATGAGCGGTGGGTTTGGGAGGGTCTCCATCGTACAATGAGCGATGGGGGGGTTCCATTTGGGGGGGTCTCCATCGTACAATGAGCGGTGGGTTGGGGGGTCTCCATCGTACAATGAGCGGTGGGTTGGGGGGTCTCCATCGTACAATGAGGATGGGGTTTGGGGGTCTCCATCGTACAATGAGTGATGGGTTTGGGGGGTCTCCATCGTAACAATGAGCGGTGGGTTGGGGGGTCTCCATCGTACAATGAGCGGTTGGGGGGGTTGGGGGGGGTCTCCATCGTACAATGAGCGATGGGTTGGGGGGTCTCCATCGTACAATGAGCGGTGGGTTTTGGGGGGTCTCCATCGTACAATGAGCGGTGGGTTGGGGGGGTCTCCATCGTACAATGAGCGGTGGGTTGGGGGGGGTCTCCATCGTACAATGAGCGATGGGTTGGGGGGTCTCCATCGTACAATGAGAGGTGGGTTGGGGGGTCTCCATCGTACAATCCCAGAGGTGGGTTGGGGGGTCTCCATCGTACAATGAGCGATGGGTTGGGGGGTCTCCATCGTACGAGTGATGGGTTGGGGGGTTTCCTCATCAGCCAAGTAGATTCACCCTCAATAAGTGTCACCGAGAGCGATGGGTTGGGGGGTCTCCCGAAAGTGAGGGGAAATCCAAGATTTGGAGTTTTTCACCAGAACAGGAACTGAAGGAAAATCTTTCAATGGGGACACCTGTTCTGGTGACACCTAACAGAGGGTTTACCTCACTATGGAGATCCCTGTTGTGTCACCGGACAGGAAGTGAGGGGAGATCTCCCCAATGGAACACAAAAAACAAATTCAGGGGCTTTAACCCTTCCCTGCCCCCATCTAAATCTATAAAAAATGCTTTGACCTTGCATACACTTATTGGTTGTCGGAGGACAACCTTCTGTACCAGCTGATAACTTCTGGCCTGAATCCCACCAATTAGCTGCATACATAATGGCTTACACTGATATTAGCCCCGCCTCTGGCCACACCCCAGTCTGTTGGTTCAGGCCCAGTTTACTTTTGCTACATGCAGTTCTCTTGGCGGTTGTCTTCTCCCCGGCTCCGTCCCACTACATACATGGGTGTGGTATTTGTCTGACGCTCCTGACAAGGGTGAACTGTCAATCATGAGCTTCTCTGAGTAGGCCCTGGTGGGTCTTTATTGGATCGTTTTTGAGGCCCTGGTGGGTCTTTATTGGATCGTTTGAGGCCCTGGTGGGTCTTTATGGATCGTTTGAGGCCCTGGTGGGTCTTTATTGGATCATTTGAGGCCCTGGTGGGTCTTTATTGGATCCTTTGAGGCCCTGGTGGGTCTTTATTGGATCGTTTGAGGCCTGGTGGGTCTTTATTGGATCCTTTGAGGCCCTGGTGGGTCTTTATTGGATCGTTTTGAGGCCCTTGGTGGGTCTTTATTGGATCCTTTGAGGCCCTGGTGGGTCTTTATTGGATAGTTTGAGGCCCTGGTGGGTCTTTATTGGATCCTTTGAGGCCCTGGTGGGTCTTTATTGGATCCGTGGAGTGTTTCCTCTCAGAGTTATGATATCAGCCCCATCCCCCCCCCCCCACGAGGGCAAATGGCGGGAGGTTGATTGCGACCTAGAAGGTGGCTGTCCCATGTTTCTTCTCTTCCCTACAGCATATGGTATGATCTGCTCTCTGTTTCAGGTCAGCTCACCGACCTCCTCCTGGCTGAGCGGCCGGCTCTGAACGTCCTGTCCCGGGTCAGCGGAGTGGCTACACTAGCTAGGAAGGTGACGGAACATGCCAGGGCATCAGGATGGCCAGGGAAGGTGACTGGGACCAGGAAGACCACGCCCGGATTCCGCCTTCCTGAGAAATATGGCCTGCTGGTGGGAGGAGCTGGAACTCACCGTTACGGGACTGGAGATCTGGTCATGCTGAAGGACAACCATATATGGGCAATGGGAGGAGTCCGAGAGGTGAGGAATGGGTGGGTTTATATGTGGGAATAAATAAAGAGTTGAAGGGGATTTACTATAGAAGTAATGAAGAGGAACGTATGGTAGGGATGTTAGGGGGGCTTTAAGGTAGGAGTAATGGTGGGGGACATATGGTAGAGGTGATGATGGAGAGGAAAGTATGGTAGGGATGATCGGGGGGATTGTGGTCGGGTGGATGGTGAAGGAGATATGGTGGACACATATAGTAGAAGTAATGTGTGAGGGACATACAGAACAGGTGATGGTGAAGGAGATGCAGTAAGGGTGATGGAGAAGAAAGTATGGTAGGGATGATAGCGGGATTTATGGTAGGTGGGATGTGGAGGGAGAAATGGCAGGGGTGATGGTAAGTGGACCACATAACAGGTGATGGTGGAGGACATATGGTAGGGAATGGTGGATGGAAATATGGTATGGTGATGGTAGGAGGACATATGGTAGTGGATGATGGTGGAGGACATATGGGGGGGTGATGGTGGAGGACATATGGTAGGTTGATGGTGGAGGACATATGGTAGGGTTGATGGTGGAGGACATATGGTAGGTGATGGTGGAAGACATATGGTAGGGGTGATGGTGGAAGGACATATGGTAGGGTTGATGGTGGAGGACATATGGGTAGGGTGATGTGGAGGACATATGGTAGGGTGATGGTGGAGGACATATGGTAGGGTGATGGTGGGAGACATATGGTAGGGGTGATGGTGGGAGGACATATGGTAGGGTTGATGGTGGAGGACATATGGTAGGGTTGATGGTGGAGGACATGGTAGGGTTGATGGAGGACATATGTAGGGTTGATGGTGGAGGACATATGGTAGGGGTGATGGTGGAGGACATATGGTAGGGGTGATGGTGGAGGACATATGGTAGGGTGATGGTGGGGGACATATGGTAGGGTGATGGTGGGGGACATATGGTAGGGGTGATGGTGACATATGGTAGGGAGGTAGGGGGACATATGGTAGGGTTGATGGTGGAGGACATATGGTAGGGGTGATGGTGGGAGGACATATGGTAGGGTTGATGATGTGAGGACATATGGTAGGGGTGATGGTGGGGACATATGGTAGGGGTGATGGTGGAGGACATATGGTAAGGTTGATGGTGGGGGACATATGGTAGGGTGATGGTGGGAGAGGTACAGTAGGGGTGATGGAGAGGAAAGTATGGTAGGGATGACAGAGGGACTTATGGTAGGGGTGATGGTGGGGGACGAATGACAGGGGTGATGGTGGGGGACATAAGACAGGGGTGATGGTGGGGGACATAAGACAGGGGTGATGGTGGGGGACATATGACAGGGGTGATGGTGGTGGGGGACATATGACAGGGGTTGATGGTGGGGGACAGTAAGGGGTGATGGTGGGGGATACTAGGGTTGATGTTGGGGTTGTCTGTGACCTCAGAGGATCTCTTTGTTGGGCTCCAGGTGTATTATGGAGGTGATGGGGGGGCATATGGTAGGGGTGATGGAGGGGGGACATATGGTAGGGGTGATGGAGGGGGACATATGGTAGGGGTGAAGGAGGGGGACATATGGTAGGGGTTATGGGGGGACATATGGTAGGGGTGGATGTGGGGGGGACATATGGTATGGGTTATGGGGGGGGACATATGGTAGGGGTGATGGGGGGGATTGGTAGGGGTTATGGGGGGGACATATGGTATGGGGGGGGAACATATGGTAGGGGTTATTGGTAGGGGTGATGGGGGGGACATATGGTAGGGGTGATGGAGGGGGGGGAACATTGGTTATGGGATGGAGGGGGGACATATGGCAGGGGTGATGGGGGGGACATATGGTAGGGGTGATGGGGGGGGGGGACATATGGTAGGGGTTATGGGGGGGATGGTAGGGGTGGGAGGGGGACATATGGTAGGGGTGATGGAGGGGGGGGAACATATGGTTATGGTGATGGAGGGGGACATATGGCAGGGGTTTGATGGGGGGGGGGACATATGGTAGGGGGGATGGGGGGGGGATCATATGGTAGGGGTGAATGGGGGGGGACATATGGATGGGGGGGGACATATGGAAGGGGTGATGGTAGGGGACATATGGTAGGGGTGATGGGGGGGGACATATGGTAGGGGTGGTAGGCAGGGGTGATGGGGGGGGACATATGGTAGGGGTGATGGTGGGGGGACATAATGTAGGGTGATGGGGGGGGACATATGGAGGGGGATGGGGGGGGACATATGGTAGGGGTGATGGAGGGGGACATATGGTAGGGGTGATAGTGGGGGAACAGTAGGGGGGATGGTGGAGTTGGCTGTGACCTCAGAGGGTCTCTATGTTGGGCTTCAGGTGTATTATGGAGGTGATGGACATCTGATGTGTTGGCCCCCATCTTCCCGTGGATGTCTTTGTCTCCTGTAGGCCCTGCGTGGTGTGCGCTCCGTGGCTGGTCACACTCTGAAGGTGGAGGTGGAGTGCCGGTCGGAGAAGGAGGCTCTGGAAGCTGCGGAATCTGGAGCCGATATCATCATGCTGGATAACTTTACCCCAGAGGTACCCAGCTGCCCTTTCTGCTCATTGGCTGTCCGCCCCCTTCCTGACCCAGGGCTGACTGGAGCTCCCAACCATAGAGTGATGGGTGGGCCTCTTTCATTGCCCCATAATGCACTGGAGGTACTGCGGGGACATTCTATTGGCTGCTGTAGAATAATGGAGGCAAAGTATAGGACTCCACCTACTCTGGGTGGGAGGAAGAAGGGCAACCAGTTATATTCACAGCCCCCCAGAAGGTCGGGACGCCCGGGGAGGGGACACCAACCAGATCCAAACCTGGAAGTGTGATGAGAGACACACGGAGGGTGCAGGTGATGCCCTCCCAGTGGCCATGTGAGGTTCTCTCTGGATTCTGGCTTCAGAGATGAAACTGTATGTGTGGATGAGTCACCCCAGAGGGGCCACAGACAGCAGTACAGACCTGACAGGGGCCTAACCCCTCCCATACCAACAACTGATAGGAATTGGCTCCGCTACAGTGTTTGCTGGATAGAATGAGAAGGTCTCTGATTGGTTGCCTGGGATGACCGTCTGATGGTGATCAGTAACGTTCTCTCCGTATCTCTTCCTTCCTAGTCCCCCATCATGCGGCACTCTCGGTGAAGACGGCGTACCCCAGTGTGGTGGTGGAGGCCTCCGGAGGGGTCACCCCCCCACAATGTCCTGCACTTCCTGGGGCCCCATGTGGATGTAGTGTCCATGGGCTGCCTGACCCAAGGCTATCCGCACATCGACTTCTCCCTCAAGCTGGCTAAAGGCATCCGGACCCTTTCTGTACCCCCAACTCTGACGCCTGACCCCTGTGACCCCGACACCTGTGACCCCCGCACTGTGACCCCGATATCTGACCCCATGACCCTGATATCTGACCCTGTGACCCCAACATCTGACCCCCGACACCTGAGCACTGTGACCCCGACCCGACACCTGACCCCATGACCCTGATATCTGACCCTGTGACCCCGACACCTGAGCCTTGTGACCCCGATATCTGACCTTGTGATCCCAACACCTGACCCCATGACCCTGATATCTGACCCTGTGACCCCAACACCTGAGCACTGTGACCCCAATATCTGACCCATGACCCTGATATCTGACCCTGTGACCCCTACACCTGGGCACTGTGACCCCGATATCTGACCCCATGACCCTGATATCTGACCCTGTGACCCAACATCTGACCCCAACACCTGAGCACTGTGACCCTGATATCTATCATGACCCTGTGACCCTGTGACCCCCAATATCTGACACCTGAGCCGACACCTGAGCACTGTGACCTCGATATCTGACCCCATGACCCTGATATCTGACCCTGTGACCCCAACATCTGACCCCGACACATGAGCACTGTGACCCCGACACATGAGCACTGTGACCCCGACACATGAGCACTGTGACCCCGACATCTGACCTTGTGACCCCGACACCTGACCTCATGACTCTGATATCTGACCCTGTGACCCTGACACCTGTGACCCCGATATCTGACCTTGTGACCCCGACCTCATGACCCTGATAACTGACCTTATGACCCATGATACCTGACCCTGTGACCCTGATACCTGAGCTCTGTGACCCGATATCTGACCCTGTGACCCCTCTAACCCCAGCTTCTGAATCTGTGTCCCCACCATTGTTTGGGGCTCTAACCCCGATACCTGGACCATCCCCCCAGAGTTCCTTGCTGTGACCCCGGAAGCTTGCAGCGGTGCTGGTCACACAGTCCAGATCTCCTTCCATTATCCGGCTCTCCGGGAACCCGCATATCGCCTCCCTATATGGTGGAGAAGACCGGCCGTCTCCGGAGTTCAGGGCTCTCCAGGATGCATCGAGCTGGAAATTCCCGACTCCTCGGCTGTCATGCTGATCCGCTCTTCATCAGTCACTGACACCCATGCAGATCAGGAGTCCTGGCCTCACTGGCTACATGCTTGTTTGATGCCAGATACAGCCAGGAGGTCAGCAGTGACACCCCGGAGTTTGGGTGTCATTGATGGTCGGACACATTGGTGGCAGTCATGGAATTCCCAGCAGAAACCGTACCATGTGACGGGGAATGAGCGCGGTGGGAGGGGCTTATCCTGGCCGTACTCAGAACTATTAAACTGTCTTACCTGTTCAGCCCATCTGGTGTTCTCTCTACGGCCTCTTCATACATTTGTTTTCACCCAACATTCACTCACATTCACCCACAATCGCTCATCATTCACTTATCATTCACCCACCAATCGCTCATCATTCACCCACCAATTGCTCATCATTCACTCATCATTCACTCCACCGTTCACTCATCATTCACCCACCAATCACTCATCATTCACCCACCGTTCGCTCATCATTCAATCATCATTCACCCACCAATCGCTCATCATTCACTCATCATTCACCCACCAATCACTCATCATTCACCCACCGTTCACTCATCATTCACCCACCAATCACTCATCATTCAACCGTTCACTCATCATTCACCCACCAATCACTCATCATTCACCCACCGTTCACTCATCATTCACCCACCAATCACTCATCATTCACCCACCGTTCGCTCATCATTCACCCACCGTTCACTCATCATTCACCCACCAATCACTCATCATTCACCCACCGTTCACTCATCATTCACCCACCAATCACTCATCATTCACCCACCAATCACTCATCATTCACCCACCAATCACTCATCATTCACCCACCGTTCGCTCATCATTCACCCACCGTTCACCATCATCATTCACCCACCAATCACTCATCATTCACCCACCGTTCATCATCATTCACCCACCAATCGCTCATCATTCATCATCATTCACCCACCATCGCTCATCATTCACCCACCAATCGCTCATCATTCACCCACCAATCACTCATCATTCACCCACCATTCACTCATCATTCACCCACCAATCGCTCATCATTCACCCCACCAATCGCTCATCATTCACCCACCAATCACTCATTCACTCATCATTCACCCCACCAATCACTCATCATTCACACCACCGTTCGCTCATCATTCACCCACAATCGCTCATCATTCACCCACCAATCATCACTCATCATTCACCCACCGTTCGCTCATCATTCACCCACCGTTCGCTCATCATTCACCCACCGTTCGCTCATCATTCACACCGTTCGCTCATCATTCACCCACCGTTCACTCATCATTCACCCACCAATCGCTCATCATTCACACACCGTTCGCTCATCATTCACCCACCAATCGCTCATCATTCACCCACCAATCGCTCATCATTCACCCACCAATCGCTCATCATTCACACATTCTTCTAATTGGAGTCAGCTGGAAAATCCGGGGTGAAAGCTGTGTGAATGTTGGGTGAGGCAGCAGTGAACCTTGTGCTACCCCACCAGGGCCGTCACCTGTCCAGCCCCTCCCATATACCCGGGGGAAGATTATAATGAGGACAGAAGGGGCCCCGGACTGCAGGAGGGCCCAGGAGGAGCCAAAGAAAGTCCAGCCCTGCTGCGGAGCTCTTCATAGGGTGGAGGTAGAAGCTCTGCAAGTCCTTAGAAGGTGCTCAGTGATGGCGGCCAGTACAGTGCCGGGACAAGGAGCAGGAGCCACGAACTGCCCCCCCAACCCCTCCCCCCCCCCAACCCCTCCCCCAGGAGCTGTGAACTGCCCCCCAACCCCTCCCCCAGGAGCCGTGAACTGCCCCCCAACCCCTCCCCCAGGAGCCGTGAACTGCCCCCCAACCCCTCCCCCAGGAGCCGTGAACTGCCCCCCAAACCCCTCCCCCAGTTGTGAACTGCCCCCCAACCCCTCCCCCAGGAGAGCTGTGAACTGCCCCCCCAACCCCTCCCCCAGGAGCTGTGAACTGCCCCCCAACCCCTCCCCCAGGAGCCGTGAACTGCCCCCCAACCCCTCCCCCAGGAGCCGTGAACTGCCCCCCCAACCCCTCCCCCAGGAGCCGTGAACTGCCCCCCAACCCCTCCCCCAGGAGCTGTGAACTGCCCCCCCAACCCCTCCCCCAGGAGCTGTGAACTGCCCCCCCAACCCCTCCCCCAGGAGCTGTGAACTGCCCCCCCAACCCCTCCCCCAGGAGCTGTGAACTGCCCCCCCCAACCCCTCCCCCAGGAGCCGTGTGAACTGCCCCCCCAACCCCTCCCCCAGGAGCCGTGAACTGCCCCCCCAACCCCTCCCCCAGGAGCCGTGAACTGCCCCCCCAACCCCTCCCCCAGGAGCCGTGAATCTGCCCCCCCAACCCCTCCCCCAGGAGCCGTGATCTGCCCCCCCAACCCCTCCCCCAGGAGCTGTGAAACTGCCGTGATCTGCCCCCCAACCCCTCCCCCAGGAGCCGTGAACTGCCCCCCCAACCCTCCCCCAGGAGCCGTGATCTGCCCCCCCAACCCCTCCCCCAGGAGCCGTGATCTGCCCCCCCCCCAACCCCTCCCCCAGGAGCCGTGATCTGCCCCCCCCAACCCCTCCCCCAGGAGCCGTGATCTGCCCCCCCAACCCCTCCCCCAGGAGCCGTGAACTGCCCCCCCCAACCCCTCCCCCAGGAGCCGTGAACTGCCCCCCCCAACCCCTCCCCCAGGAGCCGTGAACTGCCCCCCCAACCCCTCCCCCAGGAGCCGTGGAATGCCCCCCCAACCCCTCCCCCAGGAGCTGTGAACTGCCCCCCCAACCCCTCCCCAGGAGCCGTGAACTGCCCCCCAACCCCTCCCCCAGGAGCCGTGAACTGCCCCCAACCCCTCCCCCAGGAGCCGTGAACTGCCCCCCAACCCCTCCCCCAGGAGCCGTGAACTGCCCCCAACCCCTCCCCCAGGAGCCGTGAACTGCCCCCCAACCCCTCCCCAGGAGCTGTGAACTGCCCCCCAACCCCTCCCCCAGGAGCTGTGAACTGCCCCCCCAACCCCTCCCCCAGGAGCTGTGAACAGCAGTATAGGGTGCAGGTCCAGCCCTTTGTGCCCCCCTCATGTTGCAGCACCTAAGGCAGCTGCCTGTTCTGCCCCTATAAGAGGTATGTAAGGGAGACTGGGATTGGGCAGGTATTGGCCCAAACTGTACAAGTCTCCGCCTACTTCTTGGATTGGCCAACTGCCCACCTGTGGTTGGATGACCCATCCGCCATCTTGTGTCATAGTCCCGCTCACCATGTCCCTGGCCATAGGGCCCCCACACACGGGTCTCCAGGACATGTGACCCATCAGCATGGACACACACAGGAGCAGATATTCTCTTCTTGTCAGGGACATCATTTGTCAGCCATTGTCCCCCCCCCCCATCCCCTCCCCCCATCCCCTCCCCAGGTATACAAGGCCCGAGGCATTGCCTTCCATCACAGGGGCTGCAGCTGAGGGTCGGGGGAACAAGGTGCCCTCTTTCCTCCCCCCAAAGCCCCCTTCAGCTGGGCACGCTCATACCCCAGGGGGACTCAGGCCAGGCCCCCCATGGTGTGTACCACCTCGCCTGGGACTTCAGTCCTACAAAGAGCCCTTTACATCAATATTGGGGTGTTCCATGCCCCTCCTGCCTTGGCCTCCCCCCATCTGACTCCACCATTAACCCCCCCAATACAGTACTGGAGGAGGGGCTTCACTGAAAGGGGGGCTAACACCTGATTACACCCTTCCCTTCACCATACCAGGGAACAGAGACATCTAGTGGCCGACAAGATAACTGCACCTCCCACCATACAAGATTTGTAACCAATACAACCCCCCAAATACATGACTGTGCCCCCCCCAATACATGACTGTGCCCCCCCAATACATGACTGTGCCCCCCAATACATCACTGTGCCCCCCCAAAACATGACTGTGCCCCCCCAATACATGACTGTGCCCCCCCCCAATACATGACTGTGCCCCCCCAATACATGACTGTGCCCCCCCAATACATCACTGTGCCCGCCCCCAATACATCACTGTGCCCCCCCAATACATGACTGTGCCCCCCCCAATACATGACTGTGCCCCCCCAATACGTGACTGTGCCCCCCCAATACATCACTGTACCCCCCCCAATACATGACTGTGCCCCCCCAATACATGACTGTGCCCCCCCCCCCAATACGTGACTGTGCCCCCCCAATACATCACTGTGCCCGCCCCCAATACATCACTGTGCCCCCCCCCAATACATCACTGTGCCCGCCCCCAATACATCACTCTGCCCGCCCCCCAATACATGACTGTACCCCCCAATACATGACTGTGCCCGCCCCCAATACATCACTCTGCCCCCCCCAATACATCACTGTGCCCCCCAATACATCACTCTGCCTACCCCCCAATACATGACTGTGCCCCCCCAATACATGACTGTGCCCCCCAATACATGATTGTGCCCCCCCAATACATCACTGTGCCCGCCCCCCAATACATGACTGTGCCCCCCCAATACATCACTGTGCCAGCCCCCCAATACATCACTGTGCCCCCCCCAATACATCACTGTGCCCGCCCCCCAAATACACTGTGCCCCCCCACATGACTGTGCCCGCCCCCCAATACATCACTGTGCCCGCCCCCCAATACATCACTGTGCCCCCCCCAATACGTGACTGTGCCCCCCCAATACATGACTGTGCCGCCGCCCCCCCAATACATCACTGTGTCCGCCCCCCAATACATCACTGTGCCCGCCCCCCAATACATCATTGTGCCCCCCCAATACATCACTGTGCCCCCCCAATACATCACTGTGCCCACACCCCCCCAATACATCACTGTACCCCCCCAATACATCACTGTGCCCGCCCCCCAATACATCACTCTGCCCCCCCAATACATCACTCTGCCCGCCCCCAATACATCACTGTGCCCGCCCCCCAATACATGACTGTGCCCCCCCAATACATGACTGTGCCCCCCCAATACATGACTGCCCCCCCCAATACATCACTGTGCCCGCCCCCCAATACATCACTGTGCCCCCCTCAATACATCACTGTGCCCGCCCCCCCAATACATCACTCTGCCCGCCCCCCAATACATCACTGTGCCCCCCCAATACATCACTGTGCCCGCCCCCCAATACATCACTGTGCCCCCCCCCCAATACATCACTGTGCATCCGCCCCCCAATACATCACTGTGCCCCCCCAATACATGACTGTGCTCCCCCAATACATGACTGTGCCCCCCCAATACATGACTGTGTCCACCCCCAATACATCACTGTGCCCGCCCCCCAATACATCACTGTGCCCGCCCCCCAATACATCACTGTGCCCGCCCCCCAATACATCACTGTGCCCCCCCAATACATCACTGTGCCCGCCCCCCAATACATCACTGTGCCCCCCCAATACGTGACTGTGCTCCCCCAATACATGACTGTGCCCCCCCAATACATGACTGTGCCCGCCCCCCAATACATCACTGTGCCCGCCCCCCCAATACATCACTGTGCCCGCCCCCCAATACATCACTGTACCCCCCCCAATACATCACTGTGCCCCCCCAATACATCACTGTACCCCCCCAATACATCACTGTGCCCGCCCCCCAATACATCACTGTGCCCGCCTCCCACCCATTCATGATGAAGACTGGGGGGTAGACATACTAAAGTCATTGGAAGCCGAAGAGACTTTCTTGGTCTGTACCCCCACTGTGCCCATTATGAGGGGTCCCACCATCCCTGTACTGAGTTCCCGGGTCTGTACACCCGCTGTGCCCATTATGAGGGGTTCCCACCATCCCTGTACTGAGTTCCCGGGTCTGTACACCCGCTGTGCCCATTAGGAGGGGTTCCCACCATCCCTGTGCCCATTATGAGGGGTTCCCACCATCCCTGTGCTGAGTTCCCGGGTCTGTACCCCCGCTGTGCCCATTATGAGGGGTTCCCACCATCCTGTGCTGAGTTCCCGGGTCTGTACCCCCGCTGTGCCCATTATGAGGGGTTCCCACCATCCCTGTGCTGAATTTCGGGGTCTGTACGCCCGCTGTGCCCATTATGAGGGGTTCCCACCATGCCCGTGCTCATTATGAGGGGTTCCCACCATGCCTGTGCCCATTATGAGGGGTTCCCACCATGCCCCCGTGCTCATTATGAGGGGTTCCCACCATGCCTGTGCCCATTATGAGGGGTTCCCACCATGCCCGTGCCCATTATGAGGGGTTCCCACCATCCCTGTGCCCATTATGAGGGGTTCCCACCATGCCTGTGCCCATTATGAGGGGTTCCCACCATCCCTGTGCCCATTATGAGGGGTTCCCACCATGCCTGTGCCATTATGAGGGGTTCCCACCATCCCTGTGCCCATTATGAGGGGTTACACCATGACCCTGTGCCCATTATGAGGGGTTCCCACCATCCCTGTGCCCATTATGAGGGGTTCTCACCATGCCTGTGCCCATTATGAGGGGTTCCCACCATCCCTGTACTGAGTTCCCGGGTCTGTACCCCCGCTGTGCCCATTATGAGGGGTTCCCACCATCCCTGTACTGAGTTCCCGGGGTCTGTACACCCGCTGTGCCCATTAGGAGGGGTTCCCCACCATCCCTGTGCCCATTATGAGGGTTTCCCACCATCCCTGTGCTGAGTTCCCCGGGGTACCCCCCGCTGTGCCCATTATGAGGGGTTCCCACCATCCCTGTGCTGAGTTTCCCGGGTCTGTACCCCCGCTGTGCCCATTATGAGGGGTTCCCACCATCCCTGTGCTGAATTTCGGGGTCTGTACGCCCCTGTGCCCATTATGAGGGGTTCCCACCATGCCCTGTGCCATTATGAGGGGTTCCCACCATGCCTGTGCCCATTATGAGGGGTTCCCACCATGCCCGTGCTCATTATGAGGGGTTCCCACCATGCCTGTGCCCATTATGAGGGGTTCCCACCATGCCCGTGCTCATTATGAGGAGTTCCCACCATGCCTGTGCCCATTATGAGGGGTTCCCCACCATGCCCGTGCCCATTATGAGGGGTTCCCACCATCCCTGTGCCCATTATGAGGGGTTCCCACCATGCCTGTGCCCATTATGAGGGGTTCCCACCATCCCTGTGCCCATTATGAGGGGTTCCCACCATCCCTGTGCCCATTATGAGGGGTTCCCACCATCCCTGTGCTGAGTTCCTGGGTCTGTACACCCGCTGTGCCCATTATGAGGGGTTTCCACCATCCCTGTGCTGAGTTTCCTGGGTCTGTACACCCGCTGTGCCCATTATGAGGGGTTCCCACCATCCTGTGCTGAGTTCCCGGGTCTGTACACCCCGTTGTGCCCATTATGAGGGGTTCCCACCATCCCTGTGCTGAGTTCCCGGGTCTGTACACCCCGTTGTGCCCATTATGAGGGGTTCCCACCATCCCTGTGCTGAGTTCCCGGGTCTGTACACCCCGTTGTGCCATTATGAGTGGTTCCCACCATCCCTGTGCTTTGTACGATTATTATACTGGTCATTCCAGAGACAATTTCAGGTTTGACATGGGTGATTCTTGTGAAGAAGGTTCATCCACGGGGCCACCACTGGAAGCCTGAAATATTAAACAAATGATGCAGCAATATATAATACAGGGACCCCACAGGGACCCCAGGGACCCCACAGTGTATAGGATCCCTTATGGGCCATGTATAGTGAATGATCAAACACAGGCAAGGGGGGAAACCCCTAAAAGCACACAGGGGTAGTAGTCACGTGACCCCTTCAGTCCCCAATATGGGACATAGATATATATTTAGTGACAGGAACTATAATGTGAAGAATCAACACATCAGAAACGTCCGGCGATCAACGTGACATTCCTTCTGGTCATACAAGTACGAGGAATGGTGATCCTCACACCCTGGAATGGGGTCCAATTGTGGCTGTAATGGCCTCTCACCTCCTCCCTGGGACCCTACAGGGCACACAGCATTTGTTATACCACCGCTGGGTCTGGACAGCACTCCTCACGGTTGGATGACTTGAGAGTATTTCCCCAGCAGGCTACTTCCAACCCTCTCAAGGATGTCCTTACGGGTCAGTAACCAAGATGGAGCCCAACTCAGATCCCCAGAAGAGAAGAGACCTCCATAGTGTAGACGTTCAATAATGACATTAAAGTAAGCAAAGTTCAAACTCACATGAGCCGTGAATCGTACAGCATGACTCCCATACGTTGGGTGTAGGCATAGAGACAAAGGGTGTTTCCAAGATGGCGCTACGCCGGAAGTGTGTCACCACGCTGTGCCATCGACGCGTTGCGTCACGTGACCTCGTGACTTCATCAGGACTTCTGAAGAACACACACCATGGGATGGAGATCATAGAACAGATCGGAACTGACCTTTGTAGGACACTCACCATGGGATGGAGATCGTAGAATAGATTGGGACTGACCTTTGTAGGACACTCACCATGAGATGGGAGATTGTAGAACAGATCTTTGTAGGACACTCACCATGAGATGGAGATTGTAGAACAGATCGGGACTGACCTTTGTGGGACACACACCATGGATGGAGATCGTCGAAAAGATCGGACTGACCTTTGTAGGACACACACCATGGGATGGAGATTGTAGAATAGATCGGGACTGACCTTTGTAGGACACTCACCATGGATGGAGATTGTAGAACAGATCGGGACTGACCTTTGTAGGGACACTCACCATGAGATGGAGATTGTAGAACAGATCAGGACTGACCTTTGTAGGACACTCACCATGAGATGGAGATTGAAGAACAGATCGGGACTGACCTTTGTGGGACACTCACCATGGGATGGAGATCGTCGAAAAGATCAGGACTGACCTTTGTAGGACACTCACCATGGGATGGAGATCATAGAACAAATCGGGACTGACCTTTGTAGGACACACACCATGGGATGGAGATCGTCGAAAAGATCGGGACTGACCTTTGTAGGACACTCACCATGGGATGGAGATTGTAGAATAGATCGGGACTGACCTTTGTAGGACACTCACCATGAGATGGAGATTGTAGAACAGATCGGGACTGACCTTTGTAGGACACACACACCATGGGATGGAGATCATAGAACAGATCGGGACTGACCTTTGTAGGACACACAGCATGGGATGGAGATCATAGAACAGATCGGGACTGACCTTTGTAGGACACACACCATGGGATGGAGATCGTCAAAAAGATCGGAACTGACCTTTGTAGGACACTCACCATGGGATGGAGATCGTCGAAAAGATCGGGACTGACCTTTGTAGGACACTCATGGGATGGAGATTGGGAAAAGATCGGGACTGACCTTTGTAGGACACTCACCATGAGATGGAGATCGTAGAACAGATCGGGACTGACCTTTGTGGGACACACACCATGGGATGGAGATCATAGAACAGATCGGGACTGACCTTTGTAGGACACACACCATGGGATGGAGATCGTAGAACAGATCGGGACTGACCTTTGTAGGACACTCACCATGAGATGGAGATTGTAGAACAGATCGGGACTGACCTTTGTAGGACACTCACCATGAGATGGAGATTGTATTACAGATCGGGACTGACCTTTGTAGGACACTCACCATGAGATGGAGATCGTAGAAAGATCGGGACTGACCTTTGTAGGACACTCACCATGGGATGGAGATCGTCGAAAAGATCGGGACTGACCTTTGTAGGACACTCACCATGAGATGGAGATTGTAGAATAGATCGGGACTGACCTTTGTAGGACACTCACCATGGGATGGAGATCATAGAACAGATCGGGACTGACCTTTGTAGGACACTCACCATGGGATGGAGATTGTAGAATAGATCGGGACTGACCTTTGTGTAGGACACTCACCATGGGATGGAGATTGTAGAATAGATCGGGACTGACCTTTGTAGGACACTCACCATGAGATGGAGATTGTAGAATAGATCGGGACTGACCTTTGTAGACACACACCATGGGATGGAGATTGTAGAAAAGACGGGACTGACCTTTGTAGGACACATACCATGGATGGAGATTGTAGAACAGATCGGGACTGACCTTTGTAGGACACACACCATGAGATGGAGATCAGAATAGATTGGGACTGACCTTTGTAGGACACTCACCATGAGATGGAGATTGTAGAACAGATCGGGACTGACCTTTGTAGGACACTCACCATGGGATGGAGATTGTCGAAAAGATCGGGACTGACCTTTGTAGGACACACACCATGGGATGGAGATCGTCGAAAAGATCAGGACTGACCTTTGTGGGACACTCACCATGGGATGGAGATCGTCGAGAAAGATCGGGGACTGACCTTTGTAGGACACACACCATGGGATGGAGATTGTAGAATAGATCGGGACTGACCTTTGTAGGACACTCACCATGGGATGGAGATCATAGAACAGATCGGGACTGACCTTGTAGGACACTCACCATGGGATGGAGATTGTACAATAGATCGGGACTGACCTTTGTAGGACACTCACCATGGATGGAGATTGTAGAATAGATCGGGACTGACCTTTGTAGGACACTCACCATGGGATGGAGATTGTAGAATAGATCGGGACTGACCTTTGTAGGACACTCACCATGAGATGGAGATTGTAGAATAGATCGGGACTGACCTTTGTAGGACACACACCATGAGATGGAGATTGTAGAACAGATCGGGACTGACCTTTGTAGGACACACACACCATGAGATGGAGATCACAGAATAGATCGGGACTGACCTTTGTAGGACACTCACCATGGGATGGAGATCGTCGAAAAGATCGGGACTGACCTTTGTAGGACACACACCATGGGATGGAGATTGTAGAATAGATCGGGACTGACCTTTGTAGGACACTCACCATGGGATGGAGATGGTAGATCATAGATAGACACAGATCGGGACTGACCTTTGTAGGACACTCACCATGAGATGGAGATTGTACAATAGATCGGGACTGACCTTTGTAGGACACTCACCATGAGATGGAGATTGTAGAATAGATCGGGACTGACCTTTGTAGGACACTCACCATGAGATGGAGATTGTACAATAGAACAGATCGGGACTGACCTTTGTAGGACACTCACCATGAGATGGAGATTCGTAGAATAGATCGGGACTGACCTTTGTAGGACACTCACCATGAGATGGAGATTGTACAATAGATCGGGACTGACCTTTGTAGGACACTCACCATGGGAATGGAGATCATAGAACAGATCGGGACTGACCTTTGTAGGACACTCACCATGAGATGGAGATGTACAATAGATCGGGACTGACCTTTGTAGGACACTCACCATGGGATGGAGATTGTAGAATAGATCGGGACTGACCTTTGTAGGACACTCACCATGAGATGGAGATTGTAGAATAGATCGGGACTGACCTTTGTAGGACACTCACCATGGGATGGAGATTGTAGAATAGATCGGGACTGACCTTTGTAGGACACTCACCATGAGATGGAGATCGTAGAACAGATCGGGACTGACCTTTGTAGGACACTCACCATGGGATGGAGATCGTCGAAAAGATCAGGACTGACCTTTGTAGGACACACACCATGGGATGGAGATCGTCGAAAAGATCAGGACTGACCTTTGTAGGACACACACCATGGGATGGAGATTGTAGAATAGATCGGGACTGACCTTTGTAGGACACTCACCATGGGATGGAGATCATAGAACAGATCGGGACTGACCTTTGTAGGACACTCACCATGAGATGGAGATTGTAGAATAGATCGGGACTGACCTTTGTAGGACACTCACCATGAGATGGAGATTGTACAATAGATCGGGACTGACCTTTGTAGGACACTCACCATGAGATGGAGATTGTACAATAGATCGGGACTGACCTTTGTAGGACACTCACCATGGGATGGAGATCATAGAACAGATCGGGACTGACCTTTGTAGGACACTCACCATGGGATGGAGATCATAGAACAGATCGGGACTGACCTTTGTAGGACACTCACCATGGGATGGAGATTGTACAATAGATCGGGACTGACCTTTGTAGGACACTCACCATGGGATGGAGATTGTAGAATAGATCGGGACTGACCTTTGTAGGACACTCACCATGAGATGGAGATTGTAGAATAGATCGGGACTGACCTTTGTAGGACACTCACCATGGGATGGAGATTGTAGAATAGATCGGGACTGACCTTTGTAGGACACACACCATGAGATGGAGATTGTAGAACAGATCGGGACTGACCTTTGTAGGACACACACCATGAGATGGAGATCACAGAATAGATCGGGACTGACCTTTGTAGGACACTCACCATGGGATGGAGATCGTCGAAAAAGATCGGGACTGACCTTTGTAGGACACTCACCATGGGATGGAGATCGTCGAAAAGATCAGGACTGACCTTTGTAGGACACTCACCATGGGATGGAGATCGTCGAAAAGATCAGGACTGACCTTTGTAGGACACACACCATGGGATGGAGATTGTAGAATAGATCGGGACTGACCTTTGTAGGACACTCACCGTGAGATGGAGATTGTAGAACAGATCGGGACTGACCTTTGTGGGACACTCACCATGGGATGGAGATCGTCGAAAAGATCAGGACTGACCTTTGTAGGACACTCACCATGGGATGGAGATCATAGAACAGATCGGGACTGACCTTTGTAGGGCACACACCATGGGATGGAGATCGTCGAAAAGATCGGGACTGACCTTTGTAGGACACTCACCATGGGATGGAGATTGTAGAATAGATCGGGACTGACCTTTGTAGGACACTCACCATGGGATGGAGATCATAGAACAGATCGGGACTGACCTTTGTAGGACACACACCATGGGATGGAGATCATAGAACAGATCGGGACTGACCTTGGTAGGACACACACCATGGGATGGAGATCGTCAAAAATATCGGGACTGACCTTTGTAGGACACACACACCATGGGATGGAGATCGTCGAAAAGATCGGGACTGACCTTTGTAGGACATTCATGGGATGGAGATTGTCGAAAAGATCGGGACTGACCTTTGTAGGACACACTCACCATGGGATGGAGATTGTAGAATAGATCGGGACTGACCTTTGTAGGACACTCACCATGAGATGGAGATCGTAGAACAGATCGGGACTGACCTTTGTGGGACACACACCATGGGATGGAGATCATAGAACAGATCGGGACTGACCTTTGTAGGACACACACCATGGGATGGAGATCGTAGAACAGATCGGGACTGACCTTTGTGGGACACAGACTATGGGATGGAGATCATAGAACAGATCGGGACTGACCTTTGTGGGACACAGACTATGGGATGGAGATCATAGAACAGATCGGGACTGACCTTTGTAGGACACACACCATGGGATGGAGATCGTCGAAAAGATCGGGACTGACCTTTGTAGGACACTCACCATGGGATGGAGATCATAGAACAGATCGGGACTGACCTTTGTAGGACACTCACCATGGGATGAAGATCATAGAATAGATCGGGACTGACCTTTGTAGGACACTCACCATAGGATGGAGATTGTACAATAGATCGGGACTGACCTTTATAGGACACACACCATGAGATGGAGATTGTAGAACAGATCTTTGTAGGACACATACCATGAGATGGAGATTGTAGAACAGATCGGGACTGACCTTTGTAGGACACTCACCATGAGATGGAGATGGTAGAATAGATTGGGACTGACCTTTGTAGGACACACACCATGAGATGGAGATCATAGAACAGATCGGGACTGACCTTTGTGGGACACACACCATGGGATGGAGATTGTAGAACAGATCGGGACTGACCTTTGTAGGACACTCACCATGAGATGGAGATTGTACAATAGATCGGGACTGACCTTTGTAGGACACACACCATGGGATGGAGATTGTAGAATAGACCGGGGACTGACCTTTGTAGGACACACACCATGGGATGGAGATCGTAGAACAGATCGGGACTGACCTTTGTAGGACACACACCATGGGATGGAGATCGTAGAACAGATCGGGACTGACCTTTGTGGGACACACACCATGGGATGGAGATCGTAGAACAGATCGGGACTGACCTTTGTAGGACACTCACCATGGGATGGAGATCGTAGAACAGATCGGGACTGACCTTTGTAGGACACACACCATGGGATGGAGATCGTAGAACAGATCGGGACTGACCTTTGTAGGACACTCACCATGAGATGGAGATTGTACAATAGATCGGGACTGACCTTTGTAGGACACACACCATGGGATGGAGATTGTAGAATAGACCGGGACTGACCTTTGTAGGACACACACCATGGGATGGAGATCGTAGAACAGATCGGGGACTGACCTTTGTAGGACACACACCATGGGATGGAGATCGTAGAACAGATCGGGACTGACCTTTGTGGGACACGCACCATGGGATGGAGATCGTAGAACAGATCGGGACTGACCTTTGTAGGACACTCACCATGGGATGGAGATCGTAGAACAGATCGGGACTGACCTTTGTAGGACACACACCATGGGATGGAGATCGTAGAACAGATCGGGACTGACCTTTGTAGGACACTCACCATGAGATGGAGATCGTAGAACAGATCGGGATTGACCTTTGTAGGACACTCAACATGGGATGGAGATCGTAGAACAGATCAGGACTGACCTTTGTAGGACACTCACCATGGGATGGAGATCGTAGAACAGATCGGGACTGACCTTTGTAGGACACTCACCATGGGATGGAGATCGTAGAACAGATCGGGACTGACCTTTGTAGGACACACCATGGGATGGAGATCATAGAACAGATCGGGACTGACCTTTGTAGGACACACTCACCATGGGATGGAGATCGTAGAACAGATCGGGACTGACCTTTGTAGGACACTCACCATGGATGGAGATCGTAGAACAGATCGGGACTGACCTTTGTAGGACACTCACCATGGGATGGAGATCATAGAACAGATTAGGACTGACCTTTGTAGGACACTCACCATGGGATGGAGATCGTAGAACAGATCGGGACTGACCTTTGTAGGACACTCACCATGGGATGGAGATCGTAGAACAGATCGGGACTGACCTTTGTAGGACACTCACCATGGGATGGAGATCGTAGAACAGATCGGGACTGACCTTTGTAGGACACTCACCATGGATGGAGATCATAGAACAGATCGGGACTGACCTTTGTAGGACACTCACCATGGGATGGAGATCATAGAACAGATCGGGACTGACCTTTTGTAGGACACACACCATGGGATGGAGATCATAGAACAGATCGGGACTGACCTTTGTAGACACAGACTCAGACATGGGATGGAGATCATAGAACATAGATCGGGACTGACCTTTGTAGGACACAGACTATGGGATGGAGATCATAGAACAGATCGGGACTGACCTTTGTAGGACACAGACTATGGGATGGAGATCATAGAACAGATCGGGACTGACCTTTGTGGGACACACACCATGAGATGGAGATCATAGAACAGATCGGGACTGACCTTTGTAGGACACAGACCTATGGGATGGAGATCATAGAACAGATCGGGACTGACCTTTGTAGGACACAGACTATGGGATGGAGATCATAGAACAGATCGGGACTGACCTTTGTGGGACACACACCATGAGATGGAGATCATAGAACAGATCGGGACTGACCTTTGTGGACACACACACCATGGGATGGAGATCGTAGAACAGATCGGGACTGACTTTGTAGGACACTCACCATGGGATGGAGATCATAGAACAGATCGGGACTGACCTTTGTGGGACACAGACTATGGGATGGAGATCATAGAATAGATTGGATGGTCATACCAATCAGTGTGTTTGAAGGAAACAAACCAAAGCCAAAAGGTTGAATAAAAACGCACTTTTATTGAGAACTTCCCCTGAGGATTCGGCTTCCAGCTTAAGACGTCACAGAGAAAATAGTTGAGGGCTACGGGGGGCGGGTTGTCGAGCAGAAGGAGAATGGGGCAGCAGATAACAGCCCCCTTTCGTCCCACCGGACAGAATAAATTACAGTTTTGTATTTGATGGGTCAATTTACAAAATACGCAATATACAGCAGTGGGGCGCTGCACCGGGTGTCGGGGCGCACAGCCCGCAGGGTGAACCTTCAGACCATTTACTCCTGGTCCTTGTCCTCACCGTGGGTGATGACATAGCAGATGTTCTTGTAGTCTACGTTGCCGGCCACATCAGGGGGAAATGCTGTCCACATGTTTTTGATCTGGTGGAAGGAGAAAAGATGGATGAGAAGACTGATATCCCAGAAGCATGAATCCCATCCCCCAAAATGTCATGACTGTCCCATTCCGACCCCTGAAATGTCATGGCTGTCCCATTCCAACCCCTGAAATGTCATGGCTGTCCCATTCCAACCCCCCAAAATGTCATGGCTGTCCCATTCCAACCCCTGAAATGTCATGGCTGTCCCATTCCAACCCCCAAAATGTCATGACTGTCCCATTCCAACCCCTGAAATGTCATGGCTGTCCCATTCCAACCCCCAAAATGTCAAGACTGTCCCATTCCAACCCCTGAAATGTCATGACTGTCTCACTGCAACCCCAGAATGTTCCAGTCCCATCTTTAACTTCCAAAACCGAGAAAACTCTAATTTCCTTAGTTATCCCAAACACTCTGAGCCCAAAACCCCCACCACTAAGACGTGTCATCCAGGTGACCCCAGTGTGGTCTCAGCTCTCACCTCTTCTGGAGTGAACCTGTCACACTGTGTGGTCAGAAGTTCCTCAAGGCTGCAAGAGAATGGGAGACAATGTTGCTGAAAGCATAGCTGGACACACAAATACAACATATGATGGGACGGATGGGGGTACAGGGCAGGTAGGTACACACAACAGGTTGGTATTGGGATGGTGGTGGAACATATAGGGATGAGGTGGGGGGGACATTGGTGGGTATTGGAGCCATAATGATACAGTATGGAGGGGGATGTTCATCAGGGAGATACAGGTAGACATGAAGTATTGGTATGGATGAGGAGACAAATGAGGGATGGATGGACAGATGGATGAGGTGGTTGGATGGATGAGTGGTACAGGAAGATAGGGGTAGGTATGAGGTATTGGGGAGATGAGTGAGGGATGGTTGGGTGAATAGATGGTTCAATGGATAGTTGGATGGATAGATGAGGGGGTTGGATGGATGGTTGCTACAGGGAGATACAGGCTGGTATGAAATATTGGTATACATGAGGAGAATGGATGGATGGATTCATGGATGAGGGGGTAGGATGGATGGGTGGTACAGGGAGACACAGGTAGGTATTGGACTATGGGTGAAGACATGGATGAGAGGATTGGGACAGATGGATAGTACCTGGAGATACCTGTAGGTATTGGACAATGGATGAATGAATATGGATGGGTGGTACTGGGAGATACCCGCAGGTATGAAATATTGGTATAGATAAGGAAACGAATAAGTGAAGGGTGGATGCAGGGACGGACTGACAACTCATGGGGCCCCTGGGCAATTGAGGATCATGGGGCTCCTGTGTCCTCGCCCACACTCAAAAAAGCCTATAAAAAGGTACCAAGGGCATCTCATGGGGCCCCCTACTGACCCCGAGCCCTCGGGCAGTTCCCGAGTGCTCGAATGGTCAGTCCGCCCCTGGGTGGATGGATGGTTGAGGGGGTTGGACAGATGGGTGGTAGTATAGGGAGATACAGGTAGGTATTGGACAATGGGTGAAGGGGCAGATGAGACAGTAGAATGGAAGGGTGTTAGAGGGTGATCCAGTCATTTATTGGATAAGAAGGGTTGGGTGGGATGGATGGATCCGGTGGTGGGAAATGTGGAATGAGCGGGATAATTGATCATTAAGCAGGAGGAAGAAAATGAAATTTTGTTGAAAATAAGGGGACGTCAGATGAGGAGGCTCTGAACATATGAGGGATAATACTCACAACTGCTTCTTGATGGACCCCTTGGCCTCAGGATCAAGCACCTTAAATGCCCCGGTGATAACATCCTCAGGATCAGCACCTGGAGGAAGACATATTGTCAGGGAAGGCAGAAGGAAAACACGACAGACATAGAGCCCACCTCTCTACACCTGTGATGGCCACCTAACCTACGGGCCAACTGCAGGCAACACTTTGGTCATCATGTTAGAGATGTAAAGTTATAAACTGTTACCCCCCCCCCCCCCTTTCTTCATATCCACCCCTTAAAATGAACAGTATTCAGCTCCAGCTCACCCTTCAGCTTCTCTCCGAACATGGTGAGGAAAACGGTAAAGTTGATGGGTCCAGAAGCTTCCTTGATCATCTCATCCAGCTCCTCATTCTTTACATTCAGGCGGCCTGTGAGGAAGAGGAGAAGTGTCACACCAAGCACACACACGATGCTCATTCCTCCCAAGACCAACACGATGCTTGTACTATGGGCCATACACTGTCATACCGGGGGCTACAGAGAACCTGGAGGGGCCATGCTGGAGGACAGTACATGATGGAGGTGGATTGTAGTACAATGGTGGAAGTGGAGGTTGATTGTAGTATATTGAAGGAGGTGGAGGGTAGGACAATGATGGAGGTAGAATGATAGCCATGGGGTTTAAATACAATATGGCGGAGCTCAGAGAGCTGAGGAAGGCCGGTGCTGAGGAGGAGATGGGAATTGAGCTTCCATCATACATTTGGGGTACATAATGGGTCCCGGGGGAAGGGCACTCACCCATAGCTGCGAATGTGTCTCTCAGATCCTCCTTGTCGATGATGCCATCTCTGTTCTGGTCAATCACTGTGAAAGCCTGAGGAGCAGAGAGGTGATATCAGTCTTGGATGGACAGACTTGTATCCTCACATAGGCGGCACAGACTGATCTCCATGTATAGGGACCAGAGGTGCTCCTCCACCCCTAGAGTTCTCTATGATCCCCGGGGTGACCAGGACCACAGCCAGGTGCATAGAGCCATGAAGACCACTTCCAGAGGGCTGTTCCTGGCTGATCTGGACACATCGGTGGAAAGTATTGAAGAACAACTGCTATGGGGCAGAGTCTGTAGTCACAAGTCCGAGGTAATGGAGAACATTGGAGCAGATTGTGCGCCTCCTCTGGTGTCCACCCAGAACTGCTGCTGATTCTAAATTTATCTTCCCCCCCCCTCCCCGCCCAGCACACCTGTCCCCCTCAGTCATCTCCTTCTATGTGACACCATCCTAGAATATCCCCCCGACACCCCCTGCCCACCCCGGAGATATGTGACACCAGCAGCTGGTCTGGGAGGCCCCCCTTCCTCTCCAATAAGGCCAGGAGGATTGCGCTCCATCCACAGCAACCAATCAGCAAACTGCTCACAGAAAAGTGCTGAGTGGTTGGTTGCTGTGGCTGACTGCACTTCATACACCATATATAATGGGGGGGGGGTACATGTACACCATATATAATGGGGGGGTACATGTACATCATATATAATGGGGGGGGTACATGTACACCATATATAATGGGGGGGGTACATGTACACCATATATAGTGGGGGGGCGTACATGTACAACATATATACTGGGGGGGGGGCGTACATGTACAACATGTATACTGGGGGGTGCGTACATATACAACATATATAGTGGGGGGGCGTACATGTACAACATATATACTGGGGGGGCGTACATGTACACCATGTATACTGGGGGGGCATACATGTACAACATATATAATGGGGGGGGCGTACATGTACACCATATATAATAGGAGGGGCATACATGAACACCATATATAATGGGGGGGGCATACAACATATATACTGGGGGGCGTACATGTACAACATATATACTGGGGGGGCGTACATGTACACCATGTATACTGGGGGGGCGTACATGTACAACATGTATACTGGGGGGGCGTACATGTACAGCTGGACTTTATTTGGCGATCATGTAGTATGCAGAGTTGGCCAAACTCCCTCCATTTATAATGATGACCCAACTACATGGCAATGTCCACCACCCCCCCCCCCCCCCCATACTACACATCACTGAGCCCTTATTGGCTGGAAGAGTCACATGGCGTCTCTCCAGGTTGGAGACCTCCAGCCACCCTTAAAGCTGAACCCCCCCAGCCGGTAAAAGTTGACACCTCGCTCTACATCTTCCATCAATGATCGACACGATGGAAAGCATGCTTAGACGTTATAGAAGGTCATTCAGGATCCCATTGGACACAACAATGAGTGGATCCCAGAGAGGTGACCTACCCACCCCCCCCTCATATCTGAGGGGCCACCCTGCTCCCCAGGGGCCCTGGCTCACTCACCTCCTTGAATTCCTGGATCTGGGTTTGGTCGAACATGGACAATACATTGGAGGATCCTCCTTCTGCTGCCTTTCTCTTGGCCTTCTTTGCTGGTGCCTGTGGAGGGAGGAGATGATGAGTGAGGGGTCAGCCTATGGGATAGGGGGGGGGGGTGTAATACTTATAAGTGACCAGAGGTAAGTGTCCATAATGGGGAATAAAGTTCACAGGTAAGTACCTGCTAGAGGGGGAAGGAGGAAGCAGATATCTGGAAATAAGTGCATGCAATGAGGAATGTCAGGAATCTGTGGGTGAGGATGACAGTTTGGAGGTGTCAGAGGTAAGTACTCATGGCTACACAGAATAGGGGGTAAGTATCGTTAAGAGGTAACGTAGCTTTAGATGGGAAATTGGGGCATTGTGGTAGAACCATTAGAAGGAGTTGGAGGTAAGTACTATATTGTGGGGGCAATAAAGAGCATGTGGGAGATGGGTTGGGGGTCACACAGAGGGCTTGGGGGGCACATTATAAGAAGGGGCATTGGCAGAGAATGGGGGGGCTTAAAACAAATAGTGGGGTGTTAACAGACAAAAAACGGGGTGCTCGGGGGTGAAATAATGAGAAGGTCTGTACTTCGTGGTCAGTCTCACCCCAGAGAGGGGTGCAGGAAATGGGATTAGAGGGGGTGATTGGGAAATGGGGCTTTTTCAGGGAGGGGGGGCAGTTTTTGACAATTACAGCAATAATCACACCCACCAAACATGAGCCACCAAGAATGTGCAGACTCTAGAGGTGTCCGAACACCCCACCCAGGACACAGACATGGGAACATTCCCAGCTCCTGGGGCTGCAAACCCTCCCTTCCCCCCCCAAGTGCCCCTCTTTCCCCCCCCAAGTGCCCCTCTTCCCTTCTACACTCCTCTTAGCTTATCCAATATGGAGGGGTTATAACCCGTAGCAACCAGAAAGACATAGGGCCAATGAGAGCAATGTGCAACGTGATTGGCTGCAGTGGGTGACATCCCAGTTCACATTGTCTTCTCTGTGTGGGTCCCCCAAATCTTCTCCTCAGGACCCCGACATCTCCCCCATCCTCCTCCAGCGGGACCCCGCTCCTCAACCACGTGACATAATCCAGGGTGGCTTCATGTTGGGTCTAGGCCGGACAGCCTGGCTTGGTTGGTCCTCCACTTGGGTAGACTTACCATCTCCTTGGTTGTGGTGGGTGCTTGTCCTGGTCAGAAGGAACGAGTGACATGGGAGAGAAGACCCCGGGGTGGGATTATATACCCCCGCCAGCCAAGACTCCGAGGCTAACTTTAGCCACATCCTCAACTTTGGCTGTAAGGAGGAGGAGGAGGATCTGAAGACAAAATTGTCCCGACCAAAATAGCCGGAGAGTCTCAAGACGCCTTCTGCTCCTTTCATGGAGAGACAAGGAGAAGGACAACAGCTGCAGGGGAGACAAGGCAGGGGAGGGGGCCCTCCGGGGTGCAGGTAGAGGGACGAGAATATCCGGGATTATACACCAATATACGGGACAAAGGGGCCCGGTATACAGGAACTATATACCCCAATGTACGGGACCCCATCTATAGTATATACCACACCCCAATATACAGGACCGGGGGACCCCATCTATAGTATATACCACACCCCAATGTATGGGACCAGAGGACCCCATCTACAGCATATACCACACCCCAATATACGGGACAAAGCAGCCCGGTATACAAGAACTATATACCCCAATATACAGGACCAGAGGACCCCATCTATATCATATACCACACCCCAATGTATGGGACCAGGGGAGACAAGGCAGGGGAGGGGGCCCTCCGGGGTGCAGGTAGAGGGACGAGAATATCCGGGATTATACACCAATATACGGGACAAAGGAGCCCGGTATACAGGAACTATATACCCCAATGTACGGGACCCCATCTATAGTATATACCACACCCCAATGTATGGGACCAGGGGACCCCATCTATAGTATATACCACACCCCAATATACAGGACCGGGGGACCCCATCTATAGTATATACCACACCCCAATATACGGGACCTGGAGACCCCATCTATAGTATATACCACACCCCAATATACGGGACCGGGGGACCCCATCTATAGTATATACAAACACCCCAATATACGGGATCTGGAGGACCCCATCTATAGTATATACCACACCCCCAATGTATGGGACCGGGGGACCCCATCTATAGTATACACCACACCCCAATATACGGGACCAGGGGACCCCATCTATAGTATATACCACACCCCAATATACGGGACCAGGGGACCCCATCTATTGTATATACCACACCCCAATATACAGAACGGGGGACCCCATCTATAGCATATACCACACCCCAATATACAGAACGGGGGACCCCATCTATAGCATATACCACACCCCAATATACAGAATGGGGGACCCCATCTATAGCATATACCACACCCCAATATACGGGACCAGGGGACCCCATCTATAGCATATACCACACCCCAATATATGGGACCAGGAGACCCCATCTATAGTATACACCACACCCCAATATACGAGACCGGGGGACCCCATCTACAGCATATACCACACCCCAATATACGGGACCTGGAGACCCCATCTATAATATATACCACACCCCAAAATATGGGACAAAGGGACCCTATCTATAGTATATACCACACCCCAAAATACGGACCAGGGGACCCCATCTATAGTATATACCACACCCCAATGTATGGGACCAGGGGACCCCATCTATAGTATATACCACACCCCAATATACGGGACCAGGGGACCCCATCTATAGTATATACCACACCCCAATGTATGGGACCAGGGGACCCCATCTATAGCATATACCACACCCCAATATACGGGACCAGGGGACCCCATCTATAGTATATACCACACCCCAATGTATGGGACCAGGGGACCCCATCTATAGCATATACCACACCCCAATATATGGGACCAGGAGACCCCATCTATAGTATATACCACACCCCAAAATACGGGACCAGGGGACCCCATCTATAGTATATACCACACCCCAATATACGGGACCAGGGGACCCCATCTATAGTATATACCACACCCCAATGTATGGGACCAGGGGACCCCATCTATAGCATATACCACACCCCAATATACGGGACCAGGGGACCCCATCTATAGTATATACCACACCCCAATGTATGGGACCAGGGGACCCCATCTATAGCATATACCACACCCCAATATATGGGACCAGGAGACCCCATCTATAGTATATACCACACCCCAAAATACGGGACCAGGGGACCCCATCTATAGCATATACCACACCCCAATATACGGGACCAGGGGACCCCATCTATAGTATATATACCACACCCCAATGTATGGGACCAGGGGACCCCATCTATAGCATATACCACACCCCAATATATGGGACCAGGAGACCCCATCTATAGTATATACCACACCCCAAAATACGGGACCAGGAGACCC